AAAACCTTCGGGTGACTGGACGCAAAAGAGTGCCGATTGAGTGCAATATATAATAAGCACCTTTGTCAGGTCCACCTTCCCCAAAAAGCAGCTCAGTTCAGCAACTCCACTCAGTCTCATCCTTCATCCGCACCACCCAAAAAACGTGGTCAGCTTGAACTTGCCACCAACTGCCTGCACGTTCGGCCACCAACTGCCTGCACCAGAATAGCAGGGAAGACAGTTCGCTCGCATGAGCGTTCCAACAATTCATGGTGTTTGAAGTTCAATTTGTCCCACATACTTGAGGGCATGCAACACAAATTCATGTCGATGCCGATCCAGGCAAACCCATGCAGATCGGAGCACCTGGTCTCAGTAAAACAGAGTTTGATTTCACTTCTTGCAGGACGCTGTGCATCTTGCTGGACACTGACCAGAGCGGGACCATCGATTTGGAAGAGTTTGTGTCAGGCAGGACGGGAAGAACCACTTCTGCAACCGCTTCTTAAGGAAGAATCACCTTCTTAAGCCACCTTAAAAATCACCTTTCCTCATGGGCCATCCGCCGGGTGGCCATCCTTCGGCTGTACCGAAAAGGAGCCAAGAGCCGACCGTAAAAACCCGCCGAAGCTGCCACCCTCACCGAAGTCGGACTGAAGAGCTTCGTTGAACGCCTTCGAGTCAGTGTCTGTTACGTTCGTAGCGATGGCCTCCAACCTGCTAGTGGTGGCCACCTAATAGCGTCCTTGTTACTATAGTAGCTAGGAAGCCTCTCCGAAGTTCTCCGAGTTGAAGCTGCATCCCAGGGGCGGGGTCGGAAGGCCAAGCACTGAAGCAAAAGCCGCCACCGGACCGCGGAACACGTCCAACGGTCTCCCGCCGCCGAAAACGGGTCTCCGCCGAACACGGGTCTCCGCCGAAGCGGAGGTTGCATACAGCTGCATGGCCCTGCGAAGAGCATGCAGCTGGCGAAGATGAGCTACGAGAATCGGCGCCCTTGGAGAGTCGGACCAGCGTGTTGAAGACGAGAGATCTCGCGGGAGACGTATGGAGGGATGCAAGGGAGACCTTGGGTGTAGGAGCACTACATTTATCAGCACACACACACACATGTATTTGTATACACACATATATATATATATATATGTAGATATATAGCTATTATTGTCTAAAAAAATCATAAAAATACAATATCTATTATATACTAATATATATATATATACACACACCTACAAACATGCGCATGCATTCATATATTTTGTGTTTTTGTTTTAGCCACCTGCCGGGAAGACTAAGCCTCAAGCTAAGAATGTTGAGGGGGAACCCCAAAATAGATGCACATACTGCTGGCATGTTGCCGGGGCTTGCGCTACCCAAGCTGGAAGGAACAGGTTGGAGGCCTAACAGGGACAGGCCCACAAGTGGCCTGGTCATCACAGGGGGATTTGGTGAAGGTCATGGGAGGACCTATTTGTTTGAGCCTTAATCGGTGTGAATCAATTTTTTTCATTGAACAACCGGAGCTGGGGCCATCAATTTAGAATCAATCAACATCTTGATCACCATGCGGACGCTGAGCATGTTGAACTTCCATGGGTACGTTTGATGAAGCGATTGTTTCTTGCAGCCCGTTGTTGAAACTCCCACGGAAGTTCTCCTCAAGCAAAGATGATGGAGCACTTTAAGCAAAAGATCAATTGCCTAACAAGGTTAGGAGACCGAGCCCTTTCTCTGCACCATGAAACTCGCACTCTGCCTTGTTCCCCCATGACCACTACCTTGCCCCGTTTCGAGGGTCACCCGAAGGGCGTTGAAGCAAGTGCAGCAGGAGCGAAACGTCGCGCGTGGCCGCGCCGACCTCGCCGGCCTCGCCGGCGGAACGGCGGCCGGCGGAACGGAGTGGAGTTGCCGTTCGAAACACCTGCCAGAGAGGGTGGACCGGAGAGCCGATGAAGGAAGGGATGTTCCGATGAATTCGCATCATGACGAAGGTGTTGGGAGTTCCGATCCGAATGAACCTTCGCACCCCGCCCGATTCGAGCGGATGAGCAGACTTGCTGTTTTTGGATCCGTGGGAGCTCGGGTGTTGCACTGCCGGCTGTCGATCTCGCCAGGATGTGCACCTGGTGAAGACCTTGCTGACGACCACCCATCCGTCCGCGCCGAATCTCACCAATGAGGCCTTTTAGAGGCGGATTTGATCCACCACGGTCGGGCAAAAGCAAGTCCTGCGGTAGAGGAGTGATAGAGGAGATCTCTAGCCTTCTTTTTTCCAAGGGTTTTGTTCAGAGAGGGTCTGAACTTCTCCACGAGTCCTTTTTGGCACGTTCAGACTCCTTCTGAGACTCCCCATTTGTGGGTTGGGTTGTGCCTTTCGAAAGCCTCTCGAAAAATATCCCTGGACACGCCGACCCGACGGTTTCACCCAAAAGGGCACGACGCCTCCTCCGGCAGTGTTTTGGATCGATCGGCGATCGAATTGCGGAGATCGCGGAGTGGATCCAGAGTGGGCCTGCCACGTGGCCGCTGCATGACGGTGTAAAGATGTTCGAGTTTCTGGGCGCTTCGCCTAGGGTTCATAAGCTCCATTCTGTTTGAGACCAGGTCTTGGAGAGCTGCCCCAAAGGGCTCCATTGCACCACATGCCGCCCAAAACCCTCGATTTTTGGCGATTATGGCCAAGGCACTTGTGAACTCCTTTGTCAGACTTATCTAGAGCAGGTCGTAAGCTGAGAAAAAAGACAACGGCTTCTTCTGCACACCTCGCAGGCACACCAAGCGCCTCAAAAGAGGTAAGCAAGACGGTTTAAGGGATGTTGGGGATGACTCCAAAGAGGGACGCACTTTGACACATATAGTAGTTGTTGGAGTCATGGATTCCATCATGCATTCCATCATGGATGAGGGTTTGATGGCTTGAGTGTCTTGTTCATCATCAAGTCCTCTCTTTGAATCCATCCTCCTCCCTGTAGTCGAAGAAATGGCATACGAGCTTCAAACGGCCGGAGAAAGAAAAGGCCGGCGAGGAGCGGCTCATTTGGGGTGAAGATGAGAAGGAAGAAGCTGCTAATGATATATTAAGTTATATTAATGATTATATTATTATATACGGTATACAGCATGAGTAGTCAGTAGACATAAAGACATACAGATGCTTCAAGATTTCCGCGAGCATCCGCATTTCTTCGAATTTATCCGTTTGCTCCCGGAGAATCTCCATGAACCTCCCGGCTTGCCCTCTCCAGAGCTCGCTCTCGCTGCGGTTTGGGCCATGGCGGTGCAGCTGACGAGGCCACCCGTCCCCGAAAGAGAGAGAGGTGTTGAAGGCTGTGTTTGTTGGGTGCCCCAAAATTCCTCCAAGCATCGGGGATCACCAAAAAGGCGTCGGTGTCAATGTCCTGTTCTTGGTTCCATGTTGATTTTCTTTTGGTGCGGGTCAAAGGGGGGGTTCGTAAGGGTATGTAAAGGTAATGGTCAGAAGTTACGACACTTCTCTGGGTGACCACCAGGAAAAGCCTGCACTGCAGCTCTTTCACTTCCCCTAGGAGTCCATAGCAAGTTGACCGAGGCTGCGACGGCCACCCAAAAAGAGGCGTTCCAACTTTGGGGATAGCAGCCGGCGAGGAATTGGTTCAAGGGGAAGCCAACAGGACACCCATAGTTTTTGGGGGGTCAAAGTCAAAGCATGTAAAGACCACGGCTTTCAGTGGCAGATATTCCCGTGATACAACCAATCCCAAGTGGTCCATCGTTGGAATACGCACTCAATCCCTCCAGAGTCGGACTTTCGTGCGTGATCTCTTCATATTTCTTCCTCATACCTTAGATGGCCTTTTACTATATTGGTTGGTTGGTTGGTTGGTTGGTCGGTCAATAGAGGGATTCCCTCCCATGGTAAAACACATAGGTACCGGTACAGTAAATGATGGTAAGGACATCACTGTTTCCGCTCTGAGACCCCGAGTGTGATTCCAACAAAGCTGTTCATGTCCTCCTTCGGCCGGTGGCCATGACGGCGGGTGTTGAAGCAGCACCTTTTCTTCTCTCCGTGGTGTTCCTCACCATCCATGATGAACACGACCCACGAAGTTCCGAAGCGCAAGAAAGTCGCAGAGACTTGCTGGAGAGCATCAAACCCTTCCTGGAATGTCGATGTCCCTTCCAAAACAAAGGGGGGGTGCGTAGCTCAGGTGGCCGGTGATCCGCGTTGCCCCTAGGTCGCCCACCCGCCAACTCCGCCGCTCCGGCTCCAGCGGCCTTCCTTCTCGGCGCCCCAAGGGACCGAGCCGCCATGGAGCCACGGCCCACGGCCGCCACGCCGGCGCCCCGGCCCGCGAAGGGGCCCAGGGGCCCGCCGGAGAGCGATTCGGATGAGCACCAGGCGAGGAGGAGTCTGGAAGAGGTGAGCCAAAGAGTGAGGAAGAGTGGTTGGAGGATGCATGCAGTACGTTAGCACGTTGGAGGTTCGGTGAGGGGAGGAGGAATGTCTTCAGTTGACGGAGTTTTCTGGGTTTCCAGGTCGTTTGTGATTGGAGGCAGGCGCAGATGTGGGTCTTGTATATTGCGGAACTGATGGCCCCAAACACGTTCTTCAGGAGGCTTCAAGACTCAGACATTGACAGCTGAGTGTTCTCCGAAAACACCCATCATAGCCCCCAACAGTCCAAAAGGAACCTGTTCTTTTATAGAGTGTGGGTTTTCCGCAGAGATTTGCAGGATGTGGAGATTGAACTTGAGCTGCCACAGTACAAGATTGATGAGTTGCTGGCACAGCTTCAGGACCACGTGGTCAACCATGCGAGGGCTGCAGGGTGTCATCTCATGTCATCTCAACAAGCCACGGCTTCAGCCGCATGACATCACACAGTGGATTGCGGAATGTTTTAGGTCGAGCACAGCCGGAAGTGGCTCATGGGCCTGAACCCCAACGTTTTAGTGATGACTTTGTTCACTTGGGAACCAACCGGGGATCACTATGATAAAGCCTCCTCAACCATACCCCATGCAAGTGCCTGGTAATCACCTTCATCCTGGTCTTGAGGACCAAGATTCCAGCCTGAAGTCCGAGTTTCCCTTGGCCCATGTGGCCACTGTTGCGGCGTTGGCGCCCGTGCGGGCGCCCGTGCGGGGCGCCCCGCATGGTGTTCGGTCTTCGCTTTCACAGGCTTTGGGGGATTCGACAGCCCTGAGGGTGGCAGATGAGTGGGATCCCTTGGCCAAGTTGGCGCAGTTCAAGGAGTTGCAGGCGCCGCTGTGGGGGATGTGTTTCAGTAAGGCAAGCAGACATGGCGACCAACATGAAGGGCCCAGCAATGTTTCCAAGAATAAGACACCACAAGCAAGCCTGCACATGAAGTCCAGAAGGCATTTTGACGACAACTCGATGGCAGGCGCGGTATGCGGCTGTGAAGGAGCAAAGGGAGCGAGCTGAGAGCACCAAGCGCATCTTGCAGCAGATGCCCACTGCAGGGGCAACTCCTCCCCCTGCCCCAGCCATGGCAACAGGTGTCGCCGACCCGCAGATTACGCCCCCAGAATTTCCACCTGCAGGTGGCTTGCCTTTCCCATTCTGTGGGGTCCCAGGTGTCCTATCTCCGAGGACCAAAGCGCCCCCCGAGCCGGAAAGGGATCTGACGGATGGCGCCTATGTCTACGATGCCGTGCGAGAGATTGCTCGGGAGGAAGGGCCAGAGGTCTACACACGGATGAGTAAGGAGGAGGCACACTTGCGATGAGAGGGCTTGCCAGCTTGAAGTGTATGGAGGATTACAGGAGAGAGAGAGAGAGAGATGGACTGCAGAGAGGTAACATAGACTCTTGATGAACCAAATCCCCCGGATATGGATTGCAAAACCTCTTGCTCGGGAGGGTCCATGACCCTCCCAGCGAATAGCGCTGAATCTTCTCCTGAACCAGGTCTTGCTGGCCAAGGATGGTATGGACATGACGCTGAACCACTTGCGCACCACCGGAGCCCGCATGCGAACGGAGGTCCGCGAGCTTGACCGAAAGATGGAGGAGGCAATGGCTGGAGATGGGGGTCGGGGGGGCCCTCACCAGATGCTTTTTGTTAAACAGACATTTTAAAGAATGAGCGTTTGAGTTTTAAACATTATAAACCTGGACCAAGGGGTGGTTCATGGACACCCCTTAATCTCTAAGGGGCTATTAATGGACACCCTTGCCGTGGTGCGGGAATATATAAAAATGAGTTTTTGGAGAGCTTAATCATTTGAGATGTCCTTGTACATGGGTCCATCGCTCAGGCCGAAGGAACTAGGACTGTAGGATTGTGCTGACGACCGGGGGTGAGTGAACTTCGGTGTTCATTCCTTTGGGATGTGAACTGCCGGGGCATTGGCGTGACATGACATGACTCCCAGCCATGTGGCATCTACGGAATCTAGCGTCGTGGGTGAGCAGTGGGAAGTCCACTCTTGCTGCAGATTGGTGGTTCCATGAGGTGTACACATGCTCTTCGTGCCAATGTCGAAATCGAACGCCCAATGGTTGGCAGAAGAAGCCACTCTTCACAAGGGACTCAGCTGTGGGGAACTCATGGTCTGGGGGTTCTGTATTCCACCCATTTAGAGGATTGATGGTAGTCCCGCTCCTTCCCTCCAAGAGAATCCAGGGACTACCTTGGAGGATTTGGGAGTGAAAGTAGGGAGACTTGCCAGGCAACTATCCCCTTCAAGCTTCGGAACATAGATGGGCCTGCTCAGTCTACCGGGCGATCAAAGCGAGGGTTTCGTGCCTCACCACGCCGCACGGGATGTGCCGGAGTCCGAGAGGCCGGGCAGATGGCTCAAATCCGGCAGATGGCTTCCAACGAGCCCGAGTTGCAGGATGAGCTGATGGCGCAGCAGCGGCTGATCCATGAGCAACAGAGGTTGGCAGATGAGGCTCGTTTAGAGCTGGAAATGGAGAAGGAGCCTTGGAGATGGAGACGAACTCATTTCTTCCACCGTGGGGCCTGGGGGCTGGGTCCTTTTCTGTTTTTTCTTATCTTTTGGCGCTGGACTTCCCTCGCTGAACCCCCTATGCCTATGCCATGTAAGATCATGCAATAGAAAGTCAACTCCGAGCAACAAGGCCTCAAGTGCCTCGATGGGGCTTCCTGGTGCTTCCTCATGAGTGAACACCCCAGTGGCCCCAGAACGGGTGGTCGTCCTCAGTGGTGTTTGTGACCTTGTGACGCGATGTTTACATCTTCACATGGGTCTGGACGCAGCGTCCAGCAGCGGTTCCGTGCTCTTCGCTCCTTCAGGAGCGAGCCTTCTGGCTTCGAAGGGAGAAGGTCTTGCAACCGGAGGAGGTGGATGACTTTCACCTTGAAGGTGGGCACGTGAGTTTTCACTCTCCGCGGGGGGCGGGGCGCGTTCCGTTTGTGACCGTCGGTGAATGTTGTGACTTCCTTTCGAGTGGTGAGCCCATCGTTTGTTGGGCTGTTGTTTGGAGGAGTTTGGGCTCAGGATGTGGACCTTTCTTGAAGTTTCTGAAGTTTGGCCATTGGGACGTATTGGAAACTCTTGACTCTTGAGGGTTCATTGTCTGGCAAAAGGAGCAGTGTGTTTTTCGTAGCCGATTGACAGAGCTTAAAAGGACCTAGATGCAATTACAGCAGATCCAGCTGGGCGTGCTGAACGGCTAGCATAGATCCAAAGCACCCATTCCCCATAGCCACCACCAGGTTCCAAGCATGTTTAGACTCCAGACCCCCTGTTCCTCCCCATGGCAGGTGATCCCGTCCCCTACCCCGCCGACGAGGACGAGGTCATTGCAGCCTCAAGGGCCACGGGCAACCGCTACCCAGCGATGCGCCACATGACTCCTGAGCTGGCACCCGAGGGCACCGGGCCAAGGCACCCGGTGGTCATTCGATGCCGTTCGAACGGCCCCATGAATCTTGAATAAGATCGACATTGGATGAAAATGGATGAAGCTTGACGGGATGAAGCTTGACGGGTTCTCATTCTTCATCCCAACATGAAGCCGGCTTCGCCGGCTTCGTTTGGACAGGTCTCGGTATCGAATGGAACTGCCAGCCTCCAGGGAGTATCACAACCGCGTGGCGCACCAAGCCGCTAGCCTGGGCTGGCCTTCTCCGGCCGAGGCGCTCGCCATCGCCGATGCAGAGCCAGCAGCATTGGAGTTATGTTTGATCTGGGTTTTGTTAAAAAGCGATGACGTTCGACATTTTGCTTAGTTTTCATTTTTGTCAATTAAACTATTTATACTATTTACTATATATTTGCCTTTATTGGGCCTTGGTTGTTGCCCCTGTTGTGAGACACATCTGCATCCGGCCCCTGGATTCTTGGTACTGGTACCGAAATCTTCAGGTGCTCAACTGTCAAGAGTTTGGCAACAGGGCTTCCCCAATCCTATTGAAGGTAAGGGACCCTTAGATGAACAGCCACACAGTCTAGGGCTAGGGTGGTTTGATTGGTTTCTTGCGAGTGAAAATTGTTGGTTGAATTGAATGTGTCGATGTGCTGGTTCGCCAACTGTCTTCCATGTGCGTGAAGAGTCGAAGATTGTGGAACCGAGCTTACCACCACAGGACACCAGTTGTTGAAAAGAGACATAAAGAACCCAAGAGCTTTCTGCACCCACTGAGGTCCCATCGCCCAAAGGCAAGGCCAGCTCGCGCTCTCCAAGGGCAGAACGTGGCCCCACCTCCCCAACCGACCGTGCCCTCAGTGAGCCGGACCCCCAACCATCTCCACGGAGCCAAGCTCCCCCCGAGTCACCCCGGAACTTCTTTGCCGGCTTTGGCGAGCGCGGCCCGCGCGGTGCGCCGGGCGCTCGCCCCGAGCAGCACCCGGCTCGCGCCGCGCGGGGCTTCGCCAGCCGTGCGCCCGCCTCGAGCGAGGATGGCTTGGAGGGCGACTCGGATGGATGGGAACCGGTGGATGCCAAGGGACGACCGCTGCGTGGCGTGCCGCCGATCGCCGCCTTTGGCGGCTTCGAGCCGCGTGGGAAGGTGCCCCCCCTTTGCGGCCTTTGCGGGCGAGGGGACGGCGCAGGCCGCACGTCCAGCACCGGTGGACTTCTTCGGTTCGTCGGACCAAGAGCTGCGAAAGTCGCCCCGGGATGTGGAGCCAGAGGAGGAAAGCGATCTAGAAGAGGAAGATGAGGAAAGCGAAGAACAGGGATGCTGGGCTTGAGACTGAGGGGGCTGTATGGTCTTGTGCCCACGGAATGCCCCAGTGTGACATCTGGGATGCTGCAGGCAAGGCATGAAGCATCTATGGTTTGGAGTATTTTTAATTACTCCTAATCACAACTTCCCAGGGGCGCAAGGGAGTTTTTGTGGGGTCGGGCTGGGTATGGGGTGGCACATGTTTACTTAGGGTTCAAGATCACTTTGCGATCCTTGGTGCACCTCCATGCCGGACCATTTGAGCCATTTACTCCGGTCCTTTGTTCTCCTTCCGTGCCCAGATTGAAGAGATTCATTAGGAGGTCTTTGGAGGGGGATGGAGGTAGGTGAAAATGGGCACAGGGTGCAAGGTGACATTCTGCCTAAAGAGATGTATGTGTGTGACCTGCGCAGAAAAGCCACCGCGTTCAGCATCAGCACTTAGTGGTGCAAAAGGTCCATATATATATATATATATAGGATGTGGTCAACACCAACATAAAATATAGCAACATTCATTTTTATCATTGCCCACATTCAGACACTTCAACTATTGAATTGAAGACTAGCCCACCATTCGAGTTCACTCAGTTTAGCCATCCCTCCATCGCACCCTTGCCGAGCAACACAGACAGAATGTGCCGCCCACGCGCTCCGTTGAGGATACTTCGGCGCCCTCCTCACTGGAGCTGGTCTTACCGAGGAGCCACGGCAGAAGAAGCCGCCCATCGACCCCAATGCACGTGACCCGGCTGAGGGTGCAGACAAGAGTGCCAGACCCTGAAGACTGTAGAAGTGGTCACGAAGACAGGGTGGTGGCTGGAGAGACAGGGCTGGGAGGTTGAGAGTTCACTCGCGATCCACTTTATGTTTGATACCTCCTCGCAACTCTAGCACTGCTAGTGCCCAAATGTCTGTGACATTGTTGCAGCCACTTCCACCTTTCCTGGTAGCCCCAAGCATCTCCCATCTTCTCCATGACCGAGGCTTCATGGCCGGCGCCTGTCTGGTCCGTTCGCCGCCGCTGGAGATCCCCGACCTCCGCGCCTTCCGCGCGGAGGGGGCTCCCGCCGTGGAGGCCGCCTGCGCTCAGCTGCTGCGTCGGCGCCAGGAGGGGCGACTGGGGGATGCGGAGACGGCCAGCTTGGCGCTGAGCTATGTGGTGGCCGCCTCGGTGAACGCGCAAGAGCTGGCGGAAGCGAAAGATGCCTGGAGACATGTGGGAATCATTACGGCTGCTTGACAGGAAGGTCGTAGGGACTACTTGGAAGCTATTCTCGCACCGGAAGGTGGGTTTTGGGCATTGGGGGCCATTCTGAAGCCTGGTCCGAACCAAGGACATTCTGCATTTCTTCCCGATTTGTGCGCAGATCCATCTCTGGTCCTTGGAAGCCATGATGTCGCTGCTCCGCTACGAAGAGCACAGCGCCGCCAACAGCTTGGCGCGGCCGGTCTTCGACTCTGTGACCGATCTCATCAGCATCCACCTCGAGGACCGACAGCGACGTCTTCCGCGTGGTTCTTCGGCGTGGTTCGGTGCGGTTTCTTTCGTTTAGTTTTCATATGTTTGGAGGCTCGCTTTGATGCGCATTGTCCATGTTCTTATTCTTTTTGGAGTTCTTGGCAGTGGACTTCTGGCAGAATCGACGCCCGGTAAAGATTCCTGCAAGGTTATGAGTATGTGTGGCGGTGTGAGGATGTGTGGTGGGTGCTCTAGTTCCATCAGCCCACCTTAAGTTCCGCAAGGACACGGCCTTACGGAGCTTCACGCCGGAGCTGCCAACTCGCTTGCTGGCGAGCTTGGCTTTGTCCATCACGCCTGATAGCGTCAAGAGGCTCACGCAGACGCATGTGAACTTCGCCTTGTCGTTGATGAAGGAGCCTGAGGTGCGCGGGGTTGTTCTAGATGAAGTCCCCACGTGGTGGCGCTTTGTACTTGTTGGACTAACAATGCTGATGTGTCCAAAAGTACGAGTTCAATCAAATTGCGAAATTGCCGCCTCATTTGCCAATCTTAAGCCACCAACAAAGCCCACGCAGAGCCAACAAAAACAGTCACTTCGGTCGTCGCTGCTGTCCGAAGACGGAGCCGCCCAGGTGAGCCCTTTGACCACGGAGCATGGCCTGCAGATCGTTGTGCTGGCGGCCTCCACGCAGGGGCTCCGGCAGCAAGCAGAGGCTGCCCAGCTGGCGCTGCGCTGCTTCCGCGCGGAGCCACGGCTGGTGCCCAGGGCGCTGCTGGCGCTCAGTGCGCATGTTCGGGTGTGGGAGTGTCGGGGTGTTGGGCTGCACTCAGTGCATTCCGCTGTGAAAGATGAAGACCTTTGTAGGTAGACTAGCTTTGGGGATGGATGACATTTGTCATTCTGCTGTTTGGGCAGGTACCATCTATGTGGTGGCCACCAAGGGAGATCAGGGCAGCTCCATTCTGGTCCGAGAGCCCAGACCATCTGATGCCATCGACTCTGGCGATGACGAGATGGTTCCGGTGGGCTTCCGCGACATCACTACAACGATGGACGTGTATGCCAAGGACGGCGTACGATCCATGCCATGCATACTGTGTGGATGGATGCTCCAGGCATATGGTCCATGCACATTCCGATTCAGTTTGTTTTGCATCCAGGAGCGTCCACTCTCTTCCATCCCAAGGGTCTCAGGGTCTCCTGGAGACTTGATTGATGTACCAAACCCGCATGAAGAATTTCGATGCTCCACGTCCGAGGGATTGGATGAATCGTTCGAGTCGTTTCATGAGTCTCAAAACCATCCCCCCATCCCGCGCTTAGCCTGGCCAGCCCACGATGGTGACTTAGGGCACTCCCTGAAATAGGGCCTTGAAGGAAGTGGAACATCGGGTCCTTGAAGGCCAATCTTCTTTACAAACAGGTGGGTTTTCCCTCCAACTAACTGCCCGTGATCTGGTCTCCAACTGCCATGTTCCATCCAGGGGCCACTTTGCGGAGGGTCCAGGTACCCAGTGGTCATTCTCCATTTCCATGTGAGAAGTTGAAGGGGCAGGCGCAGAACAAGTAACAGGGACAGGCCTCTGGGAACAGATGAAGCCCATTCCCACCACCAACCTGGTCTTTGGCACAGATGGGTCAGGCGGACCCGCTTCCAAAGACAAAAGGCTGAGGCAATGCAGCTTTGCAGTTGTTGCTCTTAACAAAGACACCCGCCAAGTTGTTGCCACACTCACAGGCAGCATTCAGGGATCACAAACAGTGCCCCGGGCAGAAGCAGCAGCCCTCTTGTGGCTCCTCAAACTTACCACGGGCCCCTTGGAAAGCAGCATAGATGCCCAAGCTGTGCTTAAAAGGAGGAAGAAGCTTCCCAGCCAAAGGCAACCAGCAACATGGACCTGTGGGGACCCATCACCAAACTCAAACAGCAAAGGCAGTCAGTCACACTCACGTGGGTGAGCAGTCACCAAGCCTTAGAACAATTCCAGCGGAGCAACCCAGACCTTCCCACATGGATCTGGTGGACCAACCACAAGGCAGATGAGGCAGCCGAAGCCCAAGCCAACAAACTAGCAGAACAGTACAACTTAGAAAACAAAATTGCGGCCACTGAGTGGATTGATGGCAGGCAATACAAAATCCAGCAAAGACTCATTAAGGTTGTCAAGTTCTGGCTTAAGAAGGAGGAGGTCCCAGGTTTGGCCAAGCCGCTCAAACCGCACAGCTGTCCCAAGCTCCCCACCAGGAAGGAGTTGATAGAACACCTCCACACCACACACACAGCCCATCTCTGGGGAGCCATCGAACAGAAGACCCACGGCCCAGAAAGAAGCTGGAGCAGATGCCACCTCAGGATCCTTTCCTATTGGAACAACACTAAGGCCAACAAAGTGGCACAAGCCCAATGCCACACACAGGGCAACGACTTCCCAATAGTCCATCCTAGCGATGACTTATGGTGGACAGGCACCAGGCACAAATGCAAGCACTGCAGAAAGCAAGCTTCAACCGGGCAGTTAGTTCTCAAAGAATCCTGGTCTCAACCCTGCCAAAGGCAGAAAAAGAAGAATACCTTCTGAGCAAAGGATGCTTAGTGATGTATATAGAAGGAACAAATCCATGTGAGGTGTGAGTCGGAGGGTTTTCTTTTTGTGTTGGGCTTTCAGGACCGGAAGATCCAAGGTGCTGGGGCTCGAGCTTTGGAGAGCGCCATGGACACGACTGGAGCGAGCTTGCCGGCGCCTGGGTTTGGTCAGAAATGCAGAGTTTGGGTGGATGTTGTATCAGGCTGTTAAGGTCCTGAACTTCTTGATGCTTACAGCATGTTGCAGCACACACACACTAATACATATGTATATATATATACACATGTAGATGAAAACAATTTCTTCAGGTGATTCACTTGTCGACCCTTTTGGTCGCCCTAGGCGCATTTGTTTTTCATTGCTTAGTCCTTCCCACGTTTTGCACTGGTCTCGACTCAGTGCCTTTGTTTTCATCCACCTCACCCCTTGGACCACCGTGTGAGGGACTTCTCCATCCAATCCGCGGCGTTTTTCATCAAAGCACCATCCCCAGGCCTTGCTCCGCGACGGGCTTCTGCGCTCCCTCACGCTGGCGCACCAGCGCTGTCCAGAAAGCCGCTCAGTGGCCCTGTCCCTGTGCCGCGTCATGGGAAAGACCATGCTGCGTGCCTTGGAGGCACGATTCATCCCCATGGATTGTACAACCTCCATCGCGTCCGCACTCACCCCTCCCGGTCCCGCCACGCGCCATGTCTGTCCCCAGGCGGGGCGGGTAAGACGCCACCGCGGACAACCTCTTATATAGGAATGTAGGGGGGTTTTGACCAACCAAGAGCCTACATCACATGGCATCCCTCCGAGTTTCTTCGCCCCTCCCGTTCGCCGCCCGAGGCGCCCCGGAGCAGCTGAGCCCCGAGGTGGGCATCAGCGCCTTGAGCGCGGGCGCCTCGCTGCCGCGGGACCGGGAGGTGGTCGTGGCAGCGCTGGAGGCGATCTACGTCCTGGCGCCGAAGCTCCGGAACCTTTGGGCCGGACAGCCCAGCCAGACGGGGCTAGCCGATCGGCTGGCGCTGGTGGCCGGAGATTTGGTGCGATTGGGAGAGGTGCGGCACAAGGCGGGGATGGTGAGCAGGTGGGATTTGGTTGGCAAGTTGGCGGTGTTCATGAGTGGGGTGGTGTATCCTGGCTGACTGTGACTGTCAGTGTCCATGTTGGTGATAGAAATGGGATGAAATGCACACCCGATATATATACATGTTCGAAAGGGAACCCCCGCTTTCTACCCACTCAACATGGGACTACGTTTCAAGAAGGCCACCAAGATTCACTTGGGGTGACTGTGATCTATGATCCATGACCCCTGGGAGGATTCGCACTGTGTGGGGATGCTGCTGGTGATCTTAACCTGCCTCGCCAGCGATGGTCACGGCCTCACCGCCGGTGGCGTGCAAGGGGAGCGCTGGCGTCATGCGCTCGGTCGGGCGGCCGCGGTGGCGATTCCCTTGCGGGCGCTCTTTGAGCACAGCAAGGAGGTGGACCCTTGGACGAAGGAGGCCAACCTCCCAGGGTTTGGGCTGCGGAACGCTCGCCAGGATAGTTTTGAGCCAGGAAGCCTACAGAGGTTAAGTGACCTGAACTAGGACTCGTAACCAGGGGTACCGAACTAGGATAGTCGAACTAGGGTTCTTCAACCTCTGCTGAAGGAGACCAACTCGTTTCGCAGCCCAACTCTGTTTCACAGCAGCTTGCCGGAGCTGATGCGCCGAACGAACTCGTCCAGCAGCATTGTGGGAGTGTTAGTAACGAACAGCCAACCCTGAGAAGTGTCTTCCAACCATAGCTGCAGGCCTCTGAAGTGAGTTCCTTCTTGGTAGAATGGCGACCTTTTGCCTAGGCTCGCCGTCCGAGCCCTTTGTTTTAGGTGGCCGAAACCCGTTGATCGTCCATGGTATTCTCGGCTGTTTTGGTGGGTCGGATTTTGGGGGGGTCACGGATGGATATTGGATTTGGTTTTGCAGCCGCATTGTTTTTTTCGAGCCATGCCCGGTGCCAACTGCAAGCTAAAAGGCAAGCCCTTCACCAGAAGGGTGTAATTATATATACCCTGAGCAAAGATCAATGAAGCTGGCATTCTGCTTCCTGGTCCATGTCCATGACCAACAAGAGAGATTGCTTGTAGGATCCACTTTGTCTGACTGCCCAGGACATGGTGACCGCTGCCGGCATCGCCTTGCGGTGTATGACCTATGGCTCTGAGGAGACATGCGCGCACGCCGCGCGCGCACGGGCGTGTCCCATCTTGCTCAGCACGCTCACGGCCTACGCGAACAAGCCGGCGACCACGAGGGAACTGCTGGCGGCACTGGCGAATTGCGCGTCCATGAAATCCATGAAGGAGGGGAGCGACCAGTTCTTTGAATTTCTTTTGCCTTTTACTTTGTGACTGTTGAGGGGGGACAGTAGTACAGTAGTACGAAGGGTAGATGAACCCATTACTGCGTGAGAGTAGCAGCCTATAGCAGCCTCACATCTCCGCGATCGTCATGTGCAGCGAGGAGCCAGTAGGGTGGTTGATACCCCATGTCTCCACTAAATATGGGTTTCTTTTTGCTGGCCCACCACCGGTGGAGGGAGGCAGACGGCCCACGAAGTTGGGACACCGAACTCTGTGAGCACCGAACTCCTGGTGCTTCGACCCGATGCCATCGTAGCTTCGACCCCGTGCTGCTCGTTGACTTCCATCCGCCCGTCATAGAATTCATGTCTTGTGCGGCAATCTGTTCTTTTTTTGGGGGGGACCGGGCGAAACATGCGCTGTTGTGTCTAGCTAGTCCATTTTGCATGACCTGGACAGGAAGACTTCCAAGCAGGCTTGCCACAGACTGCAGAGGTGATCTACACCGCCATGGAGCAATCTGCTGACCGGGAGCCCGATGTGCTGGCTCAAGGCTGTAGGGCCTTTGGGGCCTTGTACGCCACCCCGAACAACGAGGTGAATCTTGGGCTAAAGCCGGGTGAGAAGATGAAAATCAGTTCAAATGTACAGTGGAGCAAACTGAATAATGCCATCATCAAGACAGTCATTGGAAGCTTGGATGCACAAGCGGCAAGCAAAACATTTTCGTTTTGGCGCAGTAGGAATTGGGCCTGGTAGCTTGCCCCCAAGATGCAATATGGGATGGGTAAAGAAGGCAAAAACCGTTCACCTTGTTCCCATGGACCTGGAACATGTTGCCTTACTTCAAAGGAACTGCTTGCTTTCGACAACTGCAAATGTTCTCTGCATGCTCTGCTAACCCTTTGACCTGCGACCATGCCCCCTAACCGCGCGAATGCCGTGCGCCACTTCGGCGCTCCCTTCCGCGCCTGGCGCGAGCCCGGTGGGCGCGCCGGGGCCCCGGGCGGCGCGCCGCTCCGCCTCGAGGCATCACCGTGCACAACGGCGACGCGGTGGAGGGCAGCGCCTTCGATGTCTTCGGCTCGGAGCGACAGCAGAAGTTGGAGTCGACCCGCCGGAGACTCGGCCCCTTGGCTCGACGCAGGGGGGTGCCCCGGTTCCCCCGCAGAAGGGGGGGGAATCGCCCGGTCGGGTTTGGGGCTGGGTCGTGGACATGAGGGAGCTGCGTTTTGGCTGGGTGCAAGTTAAAGGTGGTAGGATGTGGTAGGGTTCGGAGGGTGGGTGTGGCATTTGGGCAGGGTGCAGGTCAATGGAATTTGGAAGGGCACGGAGAAACAAGCGCCCAGGAGGAGTTTAGTCAACCCAAGTTAGTTGATCCTTCTTTGAGTGTTCCAGGGCTGGGTGGTTATAATTTTGACATGTTTGGAAAGCAGTGACCAATTTCACAAGAGCAGTCAGAGTCAAAGAGCCTGGCACAACACAATGACGCCACAGGCCTCTCACAATGACGCCAGTGACTCCAGTGGTTTTGAGAAGCCATCTCAACTTGCGTGCGCATGCGTGCACATTCCCAATCTTGGTTTGGACTCCTCACTGCATCGGAGGATTCCTTCATGTCGGTCGGAGCCACCGAGGAGAGCTCTGCATGCATCTGGCCAGCGGCTCCCTGGCTGCCGGGCCCCAGTTCGGACGGCTGCTCTCGCAGGGCGGCGAGCCCACAGCGGAGTGCACGCCTCGGTGGAACTCCTTGCGCTCGCGCTTGCAGGCCCAACGGTTGGGAATTTATTTGAACTTCTTCTTTGATCCTCTTGCAGCGGAAAAATGGTTGGATCTCGTGCTGGCCTGGCACAATTCCAAGAAAGTGGGGGTTGGGTTTTGGAGCCCCTGCCGAGTCGTTGCACAGAGTCAGGTGACCCCGAAGCGAATCCTTTTTCTTTCTTGGTGCAGGACCGCGAGCGGAAGAGGGGCCAGGGCGAGACCGAGTCACGAGCGGGCGCCACATGAGAAAAGTGCGAGCCCTTCAGGCACCATGCAGCGGTTCGGCGGTTTGGACCTGCCCTTGGTGCCTTCTATAAGAAGGACACACACCGGTCCGGCCTTTGAAGGAGCCTGACGGGGTCCGGCCAGTCTCCCCCTCCAGTCCATCCCCATATGGTCAGGTCACCCTCACCCTTTGGTCAGGTCGAGCTGCCCGCCGAAGGAAACGCGCGCGGAGGACAAAACCGAGGGCGGAGCAGCGACCCCCACAGCAAGCGGCCCTCCAGACCCGGCTGAATCGATGAGCGGAACAGTGAAACCTTGGGCAGTTTTTGGGCTCAAATAGAAACCGGGGGAAAGCATACTTCGCAGCAAGCTCACGCAGGAGCTCTGAAGTTGGATTTTGACACGCAGCTGCGAACTTGCTTGCATGGAAAACATGGCTTTGACGAGTATCTCCTCATGACCTTGGCAAGTCTTAGCCCATCGCATTTGGATGCATTTGGTGGAACTGAATATCCCCCCCATGGTTTCCTTCCTCTCCATGGCTCGAGTGGGCTTGTTGCTTTGGTGCTTTTTTGGGGGTTAGCTGCTTGCAGTGCCCGGCAGGAGGATGTTGTCTCGAGTTGCACAGACTCTTCGAAGCATCTCGGACGAAGCGTAGCAAAATCGAAGGCACCGTCCTTTTCCCAGACCAAGTTTTGGAGCTGCAGCCAGTTCACCTGGCTCGGGGTCTAGTCTCTAGTCTCCAGTCCCAGACCTAATTCACCAAGCATTTATCAACCACTTTAGGTGTATAGACCCCCGAACGCCCTATGCTACCAGATGCTTTGCCAAGCTTTTGGTGGCCTCAAGGCGGTGCCCGTGTGGCCAGCCCGGTGGCCGGCGCACTGCGAAACAGCTTTACCGTGGTGCAGGAGGCGTGACCGCGGTAGGATGCGTAGCGCCGTCACAGACCAAAGTAGCCGAACAACTCATAAGAGTCTACACGCCGACGGAGACATCACAGTCGCATGGAAGTGGATCATCACCCTCTTGTGCACGAAAAAGAGAATTGTCTTTCAAGGGGCCAAGCCATCCAATTCCATGTGATGTGGTCATCAGATCCCATTTTTGCCCTCCCTCCTGGGCCACTCTCCTCCACTCCTCTCCCACTGCAGCAGAACCGGAGGCCACTCCCCGACTCAACCGTCGGGTGGCTCAGGTTCGCACCCGGTGTGGGTGCTCCGGGAGAGACAACCCACCAAAGCGCCGAAGCTCCGGGGAGGTCAAAAGGTGGCGACTTGGGGGTCCGGAGACCGAACAGCTGGGCGAGCTTCCATGGCTGGAGCCGGGCACCGCTGCTCCGGAGACGTCTCGCTCGCTGCGAAGAAGCCGAGCTCTGGCCCAGGCTGTGAGCTCTATGTGCCGGGCACACAGGCGAAGATCATCCCCAAAGCTGCCAAGTCGGCTGCTGATGTGCCTGGGCTGTCGAGAGTCAGACGGTTAGCTAGAAAGGAGCTGCGAAGAGAACCAAGAGAAGCACACGCAGATTCTGAGGGCTTGGAAGGGGGTTTACACTCCTCGGATGATTTTTGCTGGGTCTTGGGTTTCACCAAGGAGACTGTAGGAGTTGAAGTGTCCCACAGTAGGCACCGCTTCAGCATGCTCAGCATGCTCAGCATGCTCGCTTCGCCGCAAGGTGGTTGTGATGGACCTGGAAGACTCAGTTGCCATTGGCGAGAAGGAGGTGGCGCGGAAGAACGTCATCCAAGCCTTGAAGGACCACACCGGTCGGACTGTCATTGACCACGAGTTGCAGAGCTCCGACTGCAGGGGCTGGGACTTGTGAACCGGAACGGGGGGGCCCAAGCGGTCGGCCGGTTGGGCACCTGACCACGACCCGACTCGTCGCAGGAAGTCGACTTTGGCAACAAGACCGTCGCAGTCGACCTCTGAGGATGGGGGAAGTTGTGTGGGCCAAGGCTGGTAGGACTCATTCCAATGGCCGAGAATTGCATGGCGAATTGCATCCCAATCCTGTGTGTTTGGAACTGGCTGCTAGTTCATGCTAGTTCTTTGGCTTGAAATCCGTTGGGTGGCTCTATTCTCCTTGGACGCAGGGTGGGCTCTATCTGAATCCTGCAAACCCAGGCGACCGAAAGGCCAGCCGACTGGAATTCCTGGACCATCCACACCTGGATCTTCTAAGATATCTGGTGTTTCAAGAGGATCCATAGGTGGTGGTTCCCGATCTTTTTCTTTTCAACCTCTACCTGAGATGATCAAAATTGCGGACGAATCTGATGTTTCAAGTGGACCAGGCCTCACCACCGAGATCGGAACCCATCCACTGAGGTCCGCATCAACGGGCTCTACAGCCACCACATGTACCGGGACGTGGTAGACATCATCGAGCAGGCCCGCCGCCCGCTGTCTTGTTCGGTGTGCTGTTTGGCGTGTGACGTCTGGCAGCCTCCAACTTGTTCATTTGTGAAGGATGAAGGAGTCGTTCAGGATGGCACGAGGTCGTGCCCCCGAAAGAGGGAAGATGGACATGAATCACATGAACATGTCTTTTCCGGAAAAGGGCGAGAACATGCAAGAACCTCCTCAGGACCTGGTAGCAACTGGGCTTTTGGATGTTTGCTCGAGCTTTACTCGGCTTCTCGAGCTTTGGCCCACATCATCCCACCTCCAAAGCACCGGCCCTCACAACTTCTCCGCTCCTTCTCGCAGACGCCCGTTTTTTGGGGATCCCCTGCACCTCACCCTCTTCACGCTCGCGTCGGACTGCCCATCTCCTTGGGCGCGGTGTTCTCTTCATGGGAAGACGCAACCCTAATAGCGATGGCCTCCAACCTAGAAGCGATGGGTCCAGGCCGGAGAACGTTGTGATGTCTTTATCGTCCCTATGGTGGGCGTCGACAAGGTGTGGGTGTTGGGGCTGACGGCTGACGGGGCTGACGGGGCTGATGGGGCTGACGATAACGACAGCAGCCAGGGATGTGTGGGGAGCGACATAGAGCGACTGTGCAGCCCTCTGCTGCGAAAAGATTTCCAGCTTCAGTTGAGAGTTGTTTGGCTCCTTTAAGGGGGTTTGATGCGGAGGACTCTCGGCCAGAGCCTGGCTAGCAAGGATGGGATTCTCCCAGCATTGGGCCAAGAATAGCTTGGGACTGCTACATGGGACTCTTGAGGAATTCTCATGTGTTTGCATTCGATTCTCCATGTCTCTTCTTCTTTGAGTCCCCCCAAACAAGACACTTTCCAAAGTCTTCCGGACTTCTAGGTGCATCCATCTACAGTACCTTCCGTTTAGGGATACCTGTGCAGAGACCGTCCGTCCGCACTTCGACGTCCGTCCGTCGTGAGGACGTCTACATGGCAGATGCATTGGTGAGCCAAGTGGAGGAAGCGGTCGGCCGAAAGAAGAAGATCGGCTTTGGCCTCATCATCGAAGCGACCATGGGCGCTTCGGATGAAGGGATGGCGGGTTACACAGGCAGACAGGGGTGGTCTCATGTCGTGTAGCCATGCCCGAAGGAACTCCCAAAGAGGCGGCGGCTTGGCTGTTGGATGCTGTTGATCTCCAATGCTGCCCAGAAAGCTATCTGACTATCTATATAATTCGTCTATGTTGGGAAGTTCCAGTTTTTCGTCACTCGTTCGGAACACAGAGAGAGAGAGAGAGAGACAGAGACAGATTGACCATTGTGCCACTCCCAGAAGATGCCATCACCCCACCCCAAGATTCCATGCCCGGCACAGTCAATCATCCTCCATCCTCCACGGGTGCCGCATCCGGCCAGGCATGATGAATGTGAACTCCATCGCTGCAGCATCCAAGCGAAGCTTGTTGGAACTCCAGCGCTAGCGTGTTCATGCGAACAGGGAGGCCCACGTCGTCCATGTACATGAATTTTCATGAATTTCTTGAAAGCCCTACTAGAGTCACCTGCTTATTTTCAATGCACACCGCTAGAGCCCCCCAAACCGTGGCATGGTGGACAAGCTGGAGGTTGCGACTCGGGTCGCCGCAAGACGCCGGGACCTCTCACGGTTTCAGCGAAATCCATGAGATTGGTCGGTCGGAACTCAGGAGTTAGAGGCTTTGAGGCTTCCAGACCCAAACAGGTGGAGCGAGTGTGGATGACTTTACGTAGTATGAATAATAGTATATCTTTTGGAGCATTACCTGTAAGAGTCGGTAAACACTATCACTCTTTTGGAGGAAGGCCTTACGAACTGTTACTATAACCATCATCATTCACTGGGCCCCAGGAATGGGATATACATATTGATATATACTTACCCAAGATATGTTCGAGACATGAACCCACAAACACCTGTTAAAGACTTTGGCCTTTTGGGAGGGGAGATTTTCTTCCATTTGGATCGGAGACCCTCCGACCCTCCGCCCCCGGAATGACTGCGCTTCCATTCATGCAAGCTCCTCCGGCCGGACTCCAGGCAACGAGTCCCTGCACTTCGGGGTGGCCGACTACAGCGCATCCACCAAGAGCCGCACCACCAACATCGGAGGACCCAACAAGCTCTACGGCGTGCTCACCGACAAGGAGGGCGAACCCGCCGGGGGCCGGTGTGGTGCGGAAGGAGGGCGAACTGGGGCTCCCGCGAGTCTTCCCCTAAGACCTGGGACGAAGATGGAAGAAGGAAGAGACATCGCATTCATCTGAAATGGGTGTGAGTTGTGAGGGATGAGCTGCAGAATTTCTCGAAGAGAACTCAGATTCTGCAAATTCACTGGATGAACCTGCATGGTTACTGTAAGAATCTGTAAGATACTGTAAGTATATTTTACGACTCTTGTGTTGAGCCCGCTTCTATATAACCAACACTGGGCCTTGATCCTTTTTCATCACCTGGGCCCCCCCAACTCCAAACCGACTTCCACGCTCACCGCCTCCCCGCCTCGCCGCCTCGCCCGAGGATGGCGACAAGCCCCGTGACTTCGTTTGGGGCGACCCCTGGCACTATGCCCCTCGGCAGTCTCCACAAGGGCCAGTCAGGGGGTGGGTGGCTGAGGAAAACCGGCGTATTTTCGGGTTTTTGACGGGTCCCGACGGGTCCTTCTATCCAGTCAGTGGATACTGTCCGTGGCAGGGAAACTGATGGAATCAGTTCTTAGTGGATTCTGAGTGGTGAGGAGGACCGCCCCCCGGTCGGGCATGGTGGTCCGAGCGGAGCGATCGATGGAATGCGATATAACAGGATTCCTCTGAAGATCAAGAAGCTCAGGATCGTCATAAACGATCAACTTGAGCGTCATCACGCATGGATGCTTTTGTGCTGCAATGTGCCGCACTTCCTTGACTCTCTTGGCCTCCTTTCCTAGACCCATCTCCACCCGCCTTCCGGTGAGGCCATGTCCCGCATCGTGGTGGCCGCGCGCGCCAACGGCCTCCGCCCGGTGGACGGCGACCTGCCGCGGTGAAAGCGGAATGGGGGGAATTCATCTACTCAACCGACTCAACCGACTCCAGCAGTTCAAAGCCTTGCAGTTCTTTCTTTTGGCAAGCTGGACATGGTTGTATCCGGGGCTTCGTTTTTCTTTTTTCTCTCTCCCTCATTTTGCAACTGACCCATCTTGGGGCGTTCGTCGACCGTCGCAACCACTTTGGTCGACCATTGCAAGGCATGGGAGCGTCTCCTGACACGTTTGTGGCATCCTGACATAGCGGAAGGACAGCTGACGGCTCCTCCGTTCGAACACATCCATCTCCACACAGACCCGCTGCTGATTTCTCGGAAGTGACACGTGGAGTCGGACCGAGCCCTTTAAGGTGTGGACAGACTTCTGCGTGCGAGAAGAACACCGTACGCCCAGTTGCATCCCAAAACATGCTCCCACTACCGTCGATCAGCATCCACCCTGGAACCAGCTCCAAAACCCTTCCAAAACCAGCTGTTTGGACATGTTTGGACCATGGTTTCATCTCTTTTACATGCGCTTGGCATTTTCCACCACCCTGTTTCACCCTCCACGGCCATGCAGCTCTTTTTCACCCACCCCCTTCCCCCCTCTCCGGCGCTTCTCAGGCCCCTTCGGCGACATCGGAGACCCCGACGGGTACCGGGCGCAGTGCAACCGCGGGGCGGCCCTCGGCATGGAAGGAAAGTGGGCGATCCACCCGAGCCAGGCGGGCGGGCGCGCTGGGGCGCAGGGCCCGCGGCATGGAGCGCGGGGCATGGAGCGATCTGTGGGGTGGGGAGGACCATGAATAGCTGACATGGAGAAGCATAGGTTCCCAGATGGTCCCCAGGACTCCTGGCTCAGATATGCTCAGATGGCAAAGACAATTTTTTGACAAAGCCTACTTATGATCACCATTTGGGAGTTGAGCTGTTCGGCATTACCAGCCTCCAATTCAAGATGTTTTGGCACGCTGGGCATGCTGAGTCCTCCTCGACTTTTTTTCACCGGAACTTGACTACGTAGAACATTATTTTGACTCATTTCGGCTGGAAAGTTGAAGATGTTAAGTTTATAGTATCGCTTAGTGGACAATCACCGTGCTTCGGATGATGTGATGTTCTCTTGCGTCCAGTGTAGAACACTGTGGGCCACTTCAGTGCTGACGTGAGCCGTGCCGCTTCCGGGCACGGCCCGGTCTCTACCATCCAGGTGGCCATTGCCAACGAGGTCTTCAGCCCCGGGGAGGCCGAGGTGACGCAAGCGCGCCGCCGCTTGGCGACGCAAGCACGTGGGAGAAGAACGTCGAATTGCTGGAACGTTCTTCCGGGATCTTCCGGGTGCTTGGACAGGGGACTGGTCTGGTGGATTTGTTGGGAAGTGGACGACATCGTCCGCTGGTTGGGCCGTCCTTGTTGGGATTTGGAAGCGGCGTGGACTTGGAAGCGGCGATTTGAGGCGTGCTGGAGGCGATGGAGAAGGCTCAACGCGAGGCGGGGCGGGGAGCGGAGAAAGATGCGGAGTCTCACACGGGGGGGGGCTGAAACACTTGAGCGAGGGGATGTCCAATGAAGGTTTGAAGATTTTAGAGTATATGGCTTGAAGATCTTGAAGCTTCGTGGAAGTGAGTCAAGACCTGGAGCTCCGCTCCAAACCCTGGTAGGTTGACCTGGTCATTTATTTTGTTCATTTCCCGTGGGAAAGACTGACCAGGGTCCGCCGGCCGCCTGGTCATGCCCCGGGGCTGGTGACAAGACTCGAGACATCAGGGGCTGGGCGCGGTGTCCTTGGACGGCAAGCTGGTGGACATTGCATCGATCAAGCAGGCACCGGTAAGAGGACGTTGGCGTTCCGTGCGTTTGATTGGATGGCGTGTTATATATATATATATAGGTGTCCCCCCAAAGCGTAATTATTTGAGTGGCGCGGTTGTCCAAGACATTCTGAATGTGGGGATCTACCTTTTTCCATCTAATTATTTGGCGGGGGTCTATATATATGTGTGTTCATGATGTGGTTTTTTGCCCTGGGATGACTCTGGATGGTGCAATTCTTGGGCGACTCTGCTGGACAGATGTATCAGACACCGACCGTTTTCCGGGCCCAAAGCTTCCAAAGGTGGTGTGACCGCTGACGACCGGTGACCACAGGACAGTTTTTGATCAAATTTTGTACCACAGATAAACCAAGGATGATTGCCCCACCAATTTTTGTGTTGATTTGGTGGAACGCTGCCAGTGGTTTGGCATCCGGACCTGAGCCCACATTTGCAGGCTGATGCTATTGTGAAGAAGGCCGAGGCCATCGCTGCCATGAACTGAGTTCAGCAGCCATTGCGCATGGCGCAGTGCCATGTCGGTTTCCGCACGCAGAACCTGGCGAGGTCGACGGGGGGATTGCTGAGAAAGGAGATTCAATCGTTCTTCTTGGTTTTCACAGGGTCAAACACCCAGGCATGTTAACCCCTGTCACCCGCCACACGACAGACGTGGGCGGAGCCCTCGTGGTCCACATCCACAAGAGATGGCCCTAAGTGCTACTGGAGGTGGTACTAACAAAGATTCTTCCCGACGTGGCAGAAATTCGCCATGCGGCATCATCGATTCTTCCTGGATGAGATTTAGAGACTCGAGTTTTCGTGACATTCCTACATGGGGCACTGAGTTTCAATGGCTGTGCCGTTTCTGCAATTTCCAAAGGCCAAAGAGTTGGAAAAATGCCGTTGAGCGGAAGGTGTCCGAGATGAAGCATCGCTGGGGGCGGTTAGGTGGGCTTTTTTCGGTGGGCAGGGTCATCCGATCCTGGGTGCTGTGGGACATCATCCAGGCAAGCACATTGACATGTAGACGCTTTCGCTACAGGAAAGGAGGAAATCCATGGCCATGAACATCCAGTTTTAACCATGTCAGCTCTACCGGAACTGTTTTTGAACAGCTGGTGTTCGATGGCGCTTCTCGAAACAGAGGGTATTCTAATGTTCCCACCTCTAATGCCCACTCCACCAGTAGAAAAATGGGCTAGAGACTCACAGGCAGATTCAGACCACCCCGCTCCAGACTACGTACAGTAGCTTGGATTGTTTGTTAGGTCCCCTTCCCCCCCCAAAAAAAGACAAAAAACTCTGCCGCCTCAGATGTTTTGGATGCAGGCTCGGTCGAGGTACACAAGGAGCAGCATTTGCGACGGATACTGCGCGGCGTGTGGGTGATGGGACTAGGGCGGAAATGGAGAGAATTCATCTCACACATTCTGGTGATGACAGACACACATGCACAATGAACTATTCAAAGCTAGTTGGCTTGGGGGGCATTTGTGAGTGCAGAAGGTGTTGGTAGTGCCAACCAGGACGGGCAGCATCGCTTGCGTCATTAAAACCCTTTTGGAATTTGTTGTGACACCATTTGAGGATCTTGATGACTGAAGGACGTCCTGGCAAGTTTGGCAGGAGTCATCAGCTTCGTCCAGGATGCGTCCGTGGCCCAGACACTTTCAAGATTTGGTTTGCCGTCAAATGTCCGGGCAACTAAGCCACAGTAGAGCGTATGCCCACGGAAGAGCAACAAAACGGACAGGGGTGCTAATGGACACCCCCATGGCCCACCTCTTAAGGGGACTGTATTACTGTAATTAGATAGCTTTTAGGAGGCCCTGGTACATGGGCCTTCTTCTCAGCCCACCTTCTTTGCCGGCCAGAAGGCCCGAGGCCAAAGCTGGGCTTCGGGCGAATGCCGCGCAGAACGCATCCGATGGGCGAACCGAACCCCATCAATGGCAAGCCTGCAGTGAGGCCACGGGCTCTACAACGGCCTGGTGGTGGATGAAGCCCAGGTGTCCAACGAGCGAATCGGATGGTCTCGACCGCTGAACGCCGAACGCATTCTATCCAGTGGGCCCGGCAGGGTGCAGGAACGTTTTCTGAGCAGACCTCATCCTTGACAGGACGGGCTGCATGGCCACTACGTGCTGAAGGTGGAGGGCGAGGAGGCCCGGCAGCTCGCGGGCCGGGTGACGCACTTGCGGCTCTTCAGGGTCTTTCCATGTGACCCACTGAATTTTGGGACCTCAAACACCTGCCAATCTACCCGGTAGCCCTTACCGTGCTGAAAAACTAGCCTGGACCCTGAAAGCCAATGGCTAGAAGAGGACAACTGTTTTTCAGGGTCCATACTCCCGGATCTGGACGGTCTTTCCTTTCAAGCCTCCTTGGACAGCTTTGGCCGCCTTGGTCTTGATGGAAACGCCGGATCCGCGATCGCAGCCCGGGGTGAGGTGTGTGGCATGCAGGTCATGGGCCACTCGGCACCCAGAAGTGGGGCGAATTGATGAAAAAGAAAAGCTTGGAGAGTCGGTTGATGGAATGGGTTGAGTTGGGTTGGGTTGGTTGATTGGTTGGTGTGAAGATGGGTGACGGTCGTCCAACTGACCGTACTGACTCTCTTGTTGAATGTCGCATGTCTCGTGGGACTTTTTCAGTCTTCGCGACCATCATCTACCAACCAGTCTTCGGCAGCCTTTGTTGGTCCACCTCCTTCTCATGCTTTCTTTCCAGCAGAATTGCAGTGCGAGCCCAACAAACAACCCCATCAGCCACCCACATCAACCACTTCTTGGCATTCGGCCACGACATGAGTTCCTTCGATTCTCGAGAGATCCTTCCCGATCCGCGATGCAGCGGCCGGTCATGGCGGTCCCATCACCGAGCTTCGGTGCACATGGCCGACCTCGAACTACACTCTTTTGACCTCGGAAGGAGGAAGAAACCACTGGATGCGTCGGATGCGTGCTCCATTTTTTTCCCAAGGCAAGGCAGGTGCGAAAGTGATGCTGAGACTCCTCCCAGAGGCCGCGTTTTTCATTCGGGAAGATGAACATGGAACCCGAACATGGACCTTTGGAAGACCAATTTCCTCTGCAACTACAACCCAGTGGTTTTCAGGTTCCATGTTTATTTTCCAGGGTGTAGATGCAGTGGCTTTGTTGCTTTCAGCGCCTAGGCACTCAACCCTGGCGCTTAGTCTTGGGTGCTGCATGGGCCGCTGACGGGTGCCACTGGCGTGGTTGAAAGAGGGCCAAGCAGTGTCAGCGACAGGTTCTTGATCCAAGGAACTCCCAGTTTCTTGACTCCAACGTTTATACAGGCAGTTCCTGTCACATGATGTTTTCGATCTCATTTTGAATCCAACGGGCCCAATAAGATCACACGGCACCCTCACACGTGCTAGGCACGAGGCCTCGCTGGCATATCTGGCGGAGCAGTTGCGGCGAAGGGCGGGAAGGCCCGGAGACTGAGGGCGAGAAGAAGAAAAAGAAGAAGGCAGTTGCGGAGAGGCTTTCTAGAGAAGGGCCACCAAGAAGTTACAACAGTTACTGTACACTGTAGACCAAGGATGGGTTGTCCATTTGAGCCAGAACCAATAGAACAAGCTTAACCTTCATCTTTGGGAGCCCGTTGTCCCGTTTTTCACGCAGCAGCGCCCCAAGAAGCCTGAAACAGTAGTCTTTGCCTTCGAAGAATGCTTGGAGCATGCTTTACGTGCTGCATGTTTTCCGTTGTTGTGTCCACGAGCGGGGGTCTGACTCACCCATTCCTGGTCTAACCGCAGGCAGTACCGAAGCCGCATGTCTGCGAAAACCGCCATGAAGAGAACTAGAAGATGATCTTGATAGGCTTATCTTTCAGGGGTTCTGCACCCGCACCCTGAACCTTTGATGTGATGAAGGTTCGTAGCCGACGTAGCCTTTCTGCAAGTTGGTTACGGAGACACTTGGTGTGAAAGGTTTCAACATGTTTCAACTCCCGTTGAAGCCAGAGAGTGAACCAGGCTAGGCCGAGGTCAGTTCCATGTAGCAAAGATGCGAGTCTCGCACCGTTCCTGGAAGGAAGTATGACTATAAGCATCTATAAGCTGTATTTGCCCTTGCGGCGATCCCTGCCACAGATCTGGCTGCAGCTTGATCTACGACTCGCGGGATGAACGTAGCGCAAAGTGGGGGCGCCGAGATTGGAACCCCTCACCTTGAACTAAAGGCAGTTCAGAGCTTGCTGCATTTGGCGATGTTGAATAGGAATTGGACATCGTGTCCCGTTGGGTGGATTTGTATGGCCTTCATGACGCGCTGCATGACACGGAAGTGGACAAATTAAGCATCTGGATTTGGTCTTCCTGTGAAGTTTCGACCACCAGTTCATGAGCGCATGTCATGAATGCTCGCCATCCCTTACGGATCAGGTGCGCACAGAGCCTCGCTTTTCACTTTAGCTTGCGCTGGAAAACATGCTGCGCTGTTTGTCCAGCTTTGTGTAGTGGATTTTGCACCCACTGCATTCAGTTGGCACCGGAGCCGCCATGGACGGTGTTGCTGAGGACCTTTCATTGCCTGCCGGTTGGTCGCCTTCGGAACTGGCAGAGTTGGAAGCACTGCACGCGTCTGTGGACGATGACGATCCAGGTGCGACATCTCATTGGCGATGCCTGAGGTGTCATTCGTCGCGTTGGTCATTGGTTGCCCCGGCTTCGTACACCTGTGACAGTTGTGGACATGATGAGTTTTACAACGCCCATGCCCCGACTCGGCACGAAACAGGTGACGGAGTTTGGATGTTTGTGCCAAAGGCTGATGTGGTGCCCGCCGAAGTTCCACAATCCGACTCTTCCTGGAGGCCAGCGGCCGAATGTTCGGATTCCGTGCAGGGAGAGAAGGAGCGTGATGATCCGGCGGAAGCCAGTCCTTCCTCGGTTTACGAGTGGCCCTCTGTTGATTTAGATCCGGAGAAAGCATCCTCAACCTCGAGTCGAAGGAGGCGCAAGAACAAGACCACTGTGCAAGCAGATGATCAGGATCCTACTAAGCAGTCATCACCGATTTCACCCTCCGCTAAGCAGAAGCCCAAGCTGAACATGTCGCCTAAGGCGAAGACAGGCACATCAAGTTCGAAGCTGGTTGACGCCCTCCGACAGTTGCTGGACGAGAGAAGAGCCGATTCGGCATCTGACAAGTCGTGGAACTCCCGTAAGGGACCTGCACCAGGACTGAAGTGGCGTGGCGGCTCTCCACCTCAGCCGCCAAAGTGGCAATACCAGTCGACGGACTTGAGGGCGTACGCAAAATATGAAAGAAGAGTTCAAGTATGGCAAATGCAGGTACAACATTACCTCACAGGAGCTGAAGCAGCATTGATGTTGTTTTCATCGCTGTCAGGCGAGCCGGAGGCCGAAGCAGAGCATATGGATTTGGAAAAGGTCAACACCAAGGACGGCGTATCCTACATCTTGTCCTGCCTCAAAGGCCCGCTTGAACAAAAGTTGCTTTACCAGAAGCGCATGCTGTTGTCAAACTATGAGGGTATCTCCAGGCAAGGTCATGAGACCATACGACAGTTCATCAATCGATACAAGCGTGTTGAAAGGGACTTGCAAAGCGTTGGAATCAGTTCGGCTGCCATGTACGACAGCGAGTCGAGAGGAAACCGCTTGTTGGAACGTTGTCGTTTGGACCCTCAGTTGCAGCGGCTTGTGTTGATTGGTGCGCAAAGCAGTTTACAATTTGACAACATTGTTGACAGCCTCAACCTCCAGTTCCCGGACTTTCGTCCGACCCCTGCTGTGTACCAGCCCGGTAGTTGGCGCCAAGGTGGAAGCAGTGTTAGCTCCAATAGCCATCACAAGGGCAGCGGAAAGAGTTGGTCAAGCAGCACATCCACCAGCGCCTCATC